ACCCTTTGTGTGTATTGTTTGTGTCACTAATATTGTGGTGCTCTGGTGTGAAGCCAGCCATCAGGTATTAGTTCTGGGGACTCTGGGGAGGGTTTCTGTTGAAGGCCAAGGCTAGCCACTATCTATATCCAACCCAGGCCACCTGTAAGGAGCTATAAAATAATCCAGTTGCTAGCATCTGTGCTGGACTTTGAGGTGCCTGGCAATGATTATGCTGTAAACTGAGGCTAGCTGCCACTAGTGTTGGGCTTTCTGCCATTTAGCAAGAGTTACCGGGCACAGTAAGGCCAGCCACTGCTAGTTTTGGGTTTGTGGACCTTTTAGATATTTTAGGAAAGTCTGCAGCTTGGATCCAGCCCACTGCTTGTATGGATTAGCCTCTGAAAGTTTCCTGCCCTTTGTGTGACTTGGGTGGTGTATGGTCTCAGAGAATCACCAGGGTGGGGTGAGAGCAGTGTCAGCCAGGTTAATGGAGGCTCTCAGATTTGGGGGGTGTGTGCACCAGCAAGGGTGTGTGTGTGTGTGTGTGTGTGTGTGTGTGTGTGTGTGTGTGTGTGTGTGTCTGGGGGCACTCAACAAAAAAACAATGGTACCTGTTGGAACTTTAGTCCCAGGGATGCTGCCCTTCCATGCTGCGCCCGGAATCCAGACTTTTCTGTTTCTCCCGTATGTCCTTGGCACTTTTTGAGCTGCTGTCCATACTCTAGAGCTTAGGGCGAGTGTTTGTGAGTCAGTGACTCTGTTCTTGAACCCTTTAAGAAAATTCCTGGGTCTACAGTAGCCCTCCATTTCACTCTTTGCAATCCATGCTAATTTTCATAGCCTGTTGTTGTGAGAACTCTTCTTCCTGGCACCTGGTGCTCAGGACTGGGAAGCCTGAGGTGTGGCTGGAACCCCTCCCTCCTCAGCTGAGCCTCCATAGCCAAGATATCCCTCTTGATTTTTCATTGCCACCCATTGTTTTGGGATCAGCCCGTTTTTCTTCTTGGCCCCTCTTACCAGTCTTCACATAACTTCTTTATATCCTTAGTTATAGGAGTTTTGTTCAGCTAGTTTTCAGGTGGTTCTTTAATTTAGTTATAATTTTGATATGATTGTGGGAGGAAGCAAGTGCACTTTCCTACTCTGCCATCTTGTTGCAGTTCTGAAGATCTTAAATATATTTATTTTGTGGTTATTTCCTGAATTATATTTTCTTGGGTGCATGTTACCCTATTAGTTGGACTAATTGTATTCATTTTTTGACATTCCTTACATGTTTTCTTAATTCTGGTTGTAACTTCACCTTCTACAGAGTACTCTCACCAGTGCCTTGATCTGAGATGGCTCTTGCCAGGGAGGCTGCTTGACTCTTTCTTTCTTCTTTGTCTTATAGCCCCTGACCAAAAATAATTTTGATTTCCTTTTTTATTTTTTAATGTGGTTATATGTTCACTAATTTATATATAATAATTTATAATTTATATATTATATTGTTAAAATATAATTTCTCTAGGTTTTGTATGGAGAGAAGTTACTTTCTGTTATCTTGAAATGGAGTGCAAATTTTTTTTTAAATTTTTATTTCTTAAATTATTTTTTATTAAATTTTTCCATTATCATTTATCCCATCTAGTCCCTCATCTACCTCCACCCGCCCCCTCCCCCTGCAACCACCACGTGGAAGTGTCTAAATTTTTTGATGTATGATACCTAGACGAAGTGTAACACTGTCTCTCTTAGCAAATCATTAGTTTTTTTCTCAAAAAATTTTTGGAAAAGGACACATCAGGACTGTTTTAATGGCCCAGATATCTTACATGAATAGAGCAATTACCTTTTGCCTGACACTGTGGAGCTTACGACCTGCTGAGGAACCAGATGCCTTAGCCAGGGTGTAGAAGCCTGGGCAGATGCAGGGTATCTGTGACTGAGCTGAGTGACTTTGGGTCAGGAACCATTTCCCCCATTTTCCTGTGAACCTGACTGGTGCTTTCTCCTCGTGGGAGGTCCTCTAGAACCATCCTCTGGGCTTCTAGCAGATCCACCCTCTGGGTTCCGGAGGCCCCACATACCTGACTCCTAGTGGCTCTACCTTGCCAAGGTCAAAACAGACTCCAGGAGGCCCCGGTTGCAGTTGCCACATCCCCCACCTTCCCTGAAGAATGACCAGTATCTCCCCATCATAGGACAACTACTTGAACCTTCCTGGTGATTTACTGTGAACCTGCCTCATGCAACTCAAGTACCACCAGAGGCTCTTTCAGTGACTGACCCTAGCAGATATCTGACAGGCGGAGGCAGATCTTAGACTGCCTTGGGACTTCTGCTTACCTGCACCTGGACCTGGTGCTGGTGAAAGCTGGCCTTGATATACAACTTGGTCCTTCCTTCCTGTGTGCACCCATGTCCAGCAGAGGCAGCCACAGAATGTGGATCACTTGTAGCTCCAAAAAAGTTGCCAAGTACCAGTTACAGGCAGCATCTGACATTAGTCTATACTAGAGTCCCTCCCTGCAGACCCAGGACCAACACACCCAGTGACCAGTTTCAGACAACGTCAGAGAAGGATCCAATAAGCTTCACAAGCAGCATATCCAAAGGGAGATATTGGCAGGCACTGAACCCTGCTAAGGTGAATTCTGCTTCACGTAGTCAGCACCTGCCTAGCAGTTTGCATGCTGTGGTTGGGACTGAACATCACAGTCAGACAGCCTGAGGGTTGATCCTGCATATGAATGAGCCATTAGCAATCAAGACTCAATTACAACAGGAGAGCCCACATATACCATACAAGAGATGTTCCTGGAGCACCCAGCTCAGGTGATCAAGGAGATTACACCACTGGATCCCACAGGACACCTACTATATAAGACCACCCCACAAAGACCGGGAGTCATAGCAGATCTGTCTAATACATAGAAATAAACACAAAGAGGCAACCAAAATGGGGAGACAAAGAAACAGGCCCCAAATGAAATAACAAAGTAAATCTTTAGAAAAAGAGGTAAATGAAATGGAGACAAGTAATTTATCATTTATAGAGCTCAAAGTAATGGCTGCTTAACAGCATGAAAAAGGACATAGAAACCATAAAAAAGAACCAGTCAGAAATGAAGAATACTATATCTGAAATGAAGAATACACTGGAAAGAATAAACAGTAAATCAGATGAAGCAGAGGATTGAATCAGTGATTTGGAAGACAAAAAAGAACACTCAGAGCAGCAAAAAGAAAAAATAATTTAAAAAAATGAAGATAGGTTAAGGGACCTTTAGGATAGCATGAAGCATAACAACATCTGCATAATAGGGGTACCAGAAGGGAAGAGAGAGAGCAAGGGATTGAGAACCTACTTGAAAAACTAAACCAAAAACTTCCCCAACCTGGTGAAAGAGAAAGACACACAAGTTCAGAAGTGCAGAGAGTCCCAAACAACATGAACCCAAAGAAGCCCCACAAGGACTTATCATAATTAAAATGGCAAAGGTTAAAGATAAAGAGAGGATCTTAAAAGCCACAAGGGAAAGACTGTTAGTTACCTACAATGGAGCTCCCATAACACTGTCAGATAATTTCTAAACAGAAACATTTTAGGCCAGAAGGGATTGGCAAAAAATAATCAAAATGATGAAAAGCAAGGACCTACAACCAAGACTGCTTACCCAACAAGGCTACCATTTAAATTTGAAGGAGACACCAAAAGTGTCCCAGACAAGAAAAAGCTAAGGAATTTATTACCATCAAATCAGCATTAAAAGACACGTTAAAAGGCTTTGCTTTAAGAAGGAAAAAAACCAGAGGAACATAGTTTACAAAATAAAATAGCAATAAAAACATATCTGTCAATAATCACTTTAACATGAATGGCTTAAGTGCTCCACTCAAAAGACATAGGTAACTGAATGGATAAGAAAACAAAATCCTTGTATATGCTATCTACAAAAGACCCACCTCAGAAAGAAGATACACACAGTGTAAAAATAAAGGGATGAAGAAAGATATTTAGTGCAAATTGAAATGAAAAAAAGCTGGGGTAGCAGTACTTACATCTGACAAAATAGACTATAACAAATGAGAAAGGGAGCAATCCATTAAGAGGATATGACCCTTGTAAATATTTATGCACCAAACATAGGAGTACCTAAATATGAAAAGCAAGTCTTGATGACATAAAGTAGAGATTGACAGTAATAGAGTCATAGTATGGTATTTTAACACCCAATCAACATCAATGAATAGATCTTCCAGACAGAATATCAACAAGGAAAGAGTGGCCTTAAATGACACCCAAATCAGATCTTCAGAGCATTTCACCCTTAAGCAACAGAATAAACATTCTTTTCAAGTGCACATGGAACATTTTCTGGGATAGACCACATGTTAGGACACAAAACAAGTCTCAATAAATTTAAGAAGACTAAAATCTTATCAAGCATCTTCTCTGACCATAATGGTATGAAATTAGAAATCAATCACAAAAAATGAACTGGAAAACACAAGGGCATGGAGGCTAATAACACGGGGAAGACAGAGGGGAGGTGGGTTGTGGGGCTTGAAGGAATTAAGCATAAGAAAAACCCCCCAAAAATATAATTAATTTGGTGGCCATGATGGCATTTATATAGGAAAACATATAGATTCATGGACAAGGAATCTGCCAAACTGGAAGGCATTAGCTTTATTAAGGTGGTGAACTTATGGATGACTTTTCTCTTGGAATTTCAAAATTTCTGTATTATTATATTGCTTTCTAAAGAGGACATAGTTTTTGAGTATTCTAAATAACATAAAAATTTCATACCACTTATACAGATCCCCATTAAGGTATCACATTGCCTATAGGATAAAGTTAAAATGCCTAACTAAATGTCCCCAAAGCCCTTTACAGATGTGTTCCCAAAATGTTTCTCGTATCTCCCTCAGTTTTCTTATGCCATGTCTAGTCCATTCTTGTCCCCCATCCTTGACAGAGATGTGCTACTTTCTGCTATATTTTAAGGATTGAAACGTTTTTGCAGGGTTGTTTATCTAATTACAAGATACTGGTACTTCTGGTCCCTTCTTTTGCTGACTTTATTTGGAATCCTGGCTGCCTACTCTTCATTGCTGTTGGTGAGTAATGTTCCCCGTTTCTCCCACTCCTTTCCTGCGTAGCCTCACGAGGTGCTCCTCTCTATGATATGGGTCCTACCTGGTGCTGGGATCCTTCAGAACCTGAGATCATTCTTATCTAAGTAGAGTTGAGTTTGTATCAAGTGCTTGAATTTTAGGCACAAGGGGTCAATGGAGAAAAATGGACTTGTGCTATTAAAGGAAGCATCTTACCACTTCAACCCTTTGAAAAGTTGGCAGAACATCCTTTTTCTATTCCCCTGTTTCGTAGCCTACATTGTGGTTCACTCAAAATTGTTATTTTAGGCACCCACAGCTTTGTAATAGTAGTACCTTTACATATTGAACTAATTCATTTCATTTCCTGTCCCCTGAGAATCAGTTTTTCTGGGCCTTACAAATTAACTAGTTTTTTAAGCCTATTAAAATGTGCAAATGCTACTGTGGTAGTCCAGGTGTAAGATGACATTTAGCAAAAGTCTCTTGGCAATAGTGACCGTGCTTCTCTTGTTACATAGTAGTGTCACATAGGGATGGAAATTCAGGCCAGGCAAGAGAAATGTCTGTGAAAGTGGATTGGAAGGCTTATGGGACAATAACTTTCAGGTAATGGGAGTTGTTTAGTGCCACTTACGCATAGGGCATATGCACCTGTTATCACAACTTCTTGTCCTCACTGATATCTGGTCTGTTACAGAAGAACCCAACCTTCAAATCAGATACCATTTGCATTAATTTTTTTCAACAAAATGTATTAATCCTTGCGAGTGATAAGTACTGAGTAGAGAGAGATTAAAAAAACATAAGCAGTTTCTGTTTCTATGCAGTGCATTTCAAAGAGATATGTATGAGATAAAAAGTTACAATAGCCCCTTATTTCAATGAGTTTAGAATCTAGTAGGGTTATACATCATAGGCAAAAATAACTAACAGAGGAAAAGCATTATACTTGTCATTAGGGAGATCTAAATAAAGTTCTGCACGGATTCTGAAAAAGAAGACATGACTTCAGCCAAGATGATTAAGTAAGTCTTAATCCTCTTGAGGAAGAGTCAGCACTAGAGTAGGATCATGAAGGGATGTTGGATTTGGATGTAAGTATATGGGGATGGAGAGGAACATTCCGGGCTGAGAGACATCATGGCAAAGTTGGCTGGCAAGATAGAAAAATAGGGGTATGACAATATTAGAGGGAAAGGTCAGTTCTGTTAGCATGAAGGGCATAGTGAAGAATAGAGGAGAATGTCGCCAAAAACATAGGCTTGTGACAGCTTTCGGGAGGCCTGGAAAGTAAGTCTAAAATGTTTGGCATAAATCAGATTTCTATTTTAGGAAAATCATCCCAGCAGTTGTGGTGTGGAGGTTGCCTATAGGTAGAGACCAGTTAGAGCCCTTTCTTTATAGCAGGGAAAATGCAGATGAATGAACTGGTCTGGGCCAGACTCTGGCCCCTGAATTGTACTGCTTTCAATCACAATAAATGTGAACTGCTGCAGTTAGCTTCTAAGGTGGGAATGAGTTCTACTGTCTAGTAACTAGTATGTTTTAACAAAACTACTCTACTCTACATTTTTTTTGCATGTATACAATGGCAACAACAGTCAACAGAGAGGGAGACCTGAGTTCTATTTCCAGTTCTCTGTCTTTGGGTTGCTTTGTAACCTTGATAAAGTCATATAACTCTTCTGAGACTCAGTTTCTTTTGTTTGAAATGAGAATGATAATATTTAATACAATGGTATTTTATAGGGCTGGGTAAAGAAAAAATGAAATCAGATGCATGAAATTATTTTGGTAAAAGAATAAATTTTATACATATACCCAACTCTTAGTAATATATTATCTAATATAATATATAATATATGTAATATAATATATATTTGAGGACTCCACTTTTCAATTTCTGTTTCTACATTGTCTTGGTGACTGGCTAGGTTTACACTGAAATCTAACTAAGATTTACAGACTAAATCCATTGTTGAGAGCAGTGATTAAGAGTTGTGACAATGACACTGGATCCTCAAGAAAAGACTTTGAAATAACCCTTGGGAGTGCTGGCCCCTGCCCTCTGTTCTCTCACAAGTGGGTCTAAGTAATAGTTCCAGGAATAAGGTCCATCACAGGGATAAGAAATTGGTAGGAACTTAGGAAGGATATCAGTGTGTGGAGAGCATAATAATTAGCTCTTCCTGGGGATGCTGGGAAAAGTTACGATAGGAGGCAACATTTGAACTGGCTTTGAAAGGTCAGTGGCATGGCGGGGGAGAGCTTTCAGGCAGCGGAACAGCATGGCAACTCCCAGGGGCCAAGAAGTGCAGGTGGAACAAGAAGTGAATGAAGTGAAAGGCATTTGAACACAGAACAGCGCTGTGGGCCACAACTTGGTGATTTCAGAATAACATCCTTTTTCTTCTTTGCTTTTTCAGGTACTTGGATTTTTGTTGATTTGGGAAGGGAATGAACTCTACCTGCACTGGTGTCATAAGGTGGGACATCTGACTCTTTAGGGCACCTTACACCAGGACTGAATGTGCCTTTTTGGCACTGAGTGTAAGCATAGCATTGTGCTTTCTTCCTTGTTCCCTTTAGAAGGAACAGATAGATCTACTTACTCTGTTCTAACTGAAATCATTAAATTTCTAACAGATATAACTGATTTACTGAAGGATCTGAATGCCATCTTTATTTTTTGCTCTACTTCTTGTTTAACTTAGTCTGTGACTCTGTTCTTCCCATCCCTTTAAAATGTGAGGTGAGCTGTTCCTTTCCCAGTCCTCTGTAGTCACAAGGACATTCTAATTTCTGTCATTAAAAATTCAGTTTGTTGAAATGACCCAAACTCCAACTTGATGGTTTTCCCGTCCCCGCGGGTGGGAGCCCACATTGGTGGAGAGAGCTCACTGGTCCCGTCACCCTCGTCTCACCAAAGAGGGGCGCAGGGGAATAGGAGATGGGATAAAACAACACAGTCCCTCAAGGAAGGGCAAGGGGGCCCTCTGGGGTTGACCCATCAGGACCAGATATGTGCACCATGGGCTTCTCCTCTGTGTTTTTTCAGAGACCCTTCTGCTGAGAAGCCTGACTACAACTCTCTTGGTGGAGTCAATGCCTGTCTTCCTATACCCCCTAAGTTTATCGGGTGAGGTCCCTTCATTTGAAGCTTTTTAAAATGACATCGGCCTGGCCTCTCTCAAAGGGTCTGTATTCAGTCCCCAGAAAGCAGGTATCTGTGCCCCTTCCCTGCACCATCTGTGAACACGCAGGTCATTTCCAACATAGCCTCCTCCCTCATTTTGTTCTGCCTTGTGCTTGGGCAGCTCCACCACAGCCCCTTGCTTTTTTATAGACCGTTTCAGACATGGGTTTGATACATTTCCTCCTGTTTCCCAAAATCCAGGAACATGACAAACTCTCTGGGTTATTCTCTTAAATTTCCTTGTACTCAAGAGACAGATGAACTGGAAATGTAAACTTAAGTGTTATTACAATAGAATGAATGAAAATGGAAGTCATAAGGTCTTTTTTGGGAAAGAATGTGAATTGAGAAGTGAAGAAAATAGGTCTTATTGAAATCGCTATCTTCTTTTGAGTTGGGACACCTTGATCAGTTAGTCACTTCAAAGGATGCCTCCGGGATGAACCATCTGATGACTACATCCCAGGCTCGCGCCTGTGGTAGAAATCACGCTTACGTTGCCTCTGCCGCTGCGTGGCCCCTGCCTCAGCAGGACCTCCTCATTGCCTGGAAGTCAGGAAGCCAGTTTCGATGGCGGCATCTCTCACCTTTCCTCGGGCGCCGGGGAGGGCCCCTGCGGCACTTTTCATGGATGCTGACGCTTTCCTCAGCATGTAGTTTCAGTGTCCTCTGAGACCCCTCCACAGAACGTGATAGGGAGAGGGTAGGCTCGCCATGGGTGAGAGCATTCCAGCCAACTTTTCTCATTAAATCTCTGGATACTTTCTTCTATATTACACCGATTTCATCAAGCATGGACCACTGTTGAGGCAAGGTTCCGGTAACCAAAGAAACAATTAGAACCACTTCAAGATTCATAATACCTGGATTTTGATAAACTGTTCAGAAGCTGTAGTAGGTGTACTCATCAATAAATTTTGAAACCAGTGGAGGATAGGCTTATGAGACTTGAGAAGAGAGACTGCCTCTGTTGGCAAGGGAGACCCTGTTGGCTTGGAGTTTTAGTTTTAGTGTGCTCTGGATAAACCTGGGAGGAAAGGGTTAGCACCAGGTGTATAACCCATTCCTCTTCTAGTTAGGGATGCTCAGAGAGGAATGAATGACTTCAATCAAAACGCCTTGTAAACATGCTAATAACCCAACCTCCTGGAAAACACATATAAAGATGTTTATTAGCCAAAGGTAATGGGAGTCTTTATCCATGAAAATATCTAGCAGGGTATAGCGTGGTATATCTGGGTTGATTATTGTAAAGAAACCTGGAATTTATAGATTTATAGTGTGGGAGGCATGGCTGGCTGGAGTTGTATAATTAATGGATATCAGATAAGCATGTTCCATCACCACAAAGGCTCCTCCTATGAAGCAGTGTTTCCGCACACTTTGCTCAAAACACACCGCATATTTTAAGCCTGAGACTGGAATGTATCCTAGTACAGGAGAGGAAATAACTTTTTATTAGTATGTGAATTTGACAGGATCAGATTTCTCCAAGGGAAAATGTCTTCTGTACCTAATTGCTTGTATTCTTTAAATCACTAGTTAAGGTTGGTGTTGGGCAAAGTCGCAGAATCATGAGACTCATGCGAATCTGATTTGACAGTTAAACCTTTGTGCTGTGATGCACTTAATTTGCTAATACGTTATTTAATATTTTTGCATCGACTTACATAGGAGAGGTAGGCCTATACATTCAAGTGTCACTAATGACAGAAATGCATTCTGAGAAAAGCATTCCTTGGTGATTTTGTGATTGTGCAATGTTGTATAATTAGTCAACCCTAAGTGTTACAGCCTATTGCTCCCAGGCTACAGACCTGTACAGCATGTTACTGTACTGAATATTGTAGGCACTTCTGAGACAATAGTTAGTATTTGTGTATGTAAACATAACTAAACATAGAAAAGATACTGTGCATTTCTACCACTGGAGTGCAGTAGGTTTGTTTACGCCAGCATCACCACAAGTGCTTTGCTAATGCATTGCGCAACGACATTATGATGCTACAACATAACTAGGTGATAGAAAATTTTCAGCTCCATTATAATCTTATGGGAACCACCATTGTATATGAGGTTTGTCATTGACCAAAACGTTATTGTGGCACATGAGTATATTTTTTATTTTCTTGTAATGTCCTTGTTGAGTTTAGATATCAATATTTTGTTGGCTTCACAAGAGAAGTTAGAAAGTGTTACCTCTCTTTCTATTCTCTAGAAGAGTTTGTCAATGATTAGAAATATTTCTTTCTTAAATATAGAGGGAAGCAAAAGTAAGTTAACAGTTGTTCATAAAGAAGAATATAGGAAAGTTAGGATTATTACAATAGCTTTATTAACTCAGTGTTTCACATAGCACAACTGTAGTCCTACTTTTGATCACCTCCATGTTTCGTAAAGTTAACCATTCATGCCAGCAAGTCTTAGAGGACAGATTATGGAAAGGAACTAAGCACTTTCTAGAAAGCAGGACAGATGTAAAAAAGAAAGACTATACATTTCAAGGAAAATGTATAGAACCTTGAGAACCTTGGTCTCAAGGTACTTTATGAAGTGTACAGTGTTCTGGCATGAGGCAGAGTCTTTTCATCTGTTCAAAAAGTATTTACCCAATGCTTCCTATGTGTCAGACATTCTGCAAGGCAGTGAGGATATAATCCTAAATACTTTACTTGATGTCATGAAGTTGATAGTCTGTTGGGAAAACATACATTGAAAAGGTAATTACAAAATATTATTTACTTGTGACTCTATTAACTGGGATAAAATAAGTAGTGATATTTATAGTGGTCATTGTTGAAACTGAGTGAGAGATTGCAGGCAATGCTGAGGGCGCAGGTGAGGCTGGAGATGGTAATTAGTAAAGGCATCAGACCATGTAGCTGTGTGACTTTTTTTCCCAGCCCTGCTATACAACAAAAACTTGGAGGCAAAGAAGGTAAGTGATTGGATTTATCCAACATTGGGGATTTGCAGGATGGTCAGAGTAGAAGGATGAGGAAATGAGGTCCCTGACATTGTGGGGACACACATGCAATTCCCAAGGACAGTTCTGATCATCAAAGCCGAGAGTCTGGCAGTCAGGAGATACTGTTTTGTTTCCTCAGATCCTGACTGTGCTAGTGATTGGGACATGCACGTTTTTTATGACGGTTTTATGCAAATACTGGAACGACAGGTGGCTGACATTGGGGCTCTCACTGAAGGTACGCATCATCCTGTAGGTCTAGCACTGTTTGGCCAGTGCGGTCAGCCTGACTTTTGGCTTTTTCCCAGGTCTTTGCTCCCTACTTGCACCTGAGCAGCATACCTGTGATGGTTCTCCTTTCCTGGCCTGTGGCCTTCTACTTGGTCCATTGGGAACAAGAAGGTATGTCGTGTGGGCGGAGCCTGATCCTTCCAACTCTGGCTTTAGCTTGCACACTCTACTCAGCAAAGCACAAGCTTGGTAGATAGCCACCACTCTGCCCCTGTGAAATCTGTTTAGCTTATTACTCAGGCATGTTCCTTATGGCCAAACTCACAACCCCACATGGCCAGTCAGACATTTTCCTGACCAAACAGGCCTGCTTCTAAAGAGGGATTCTCCTAGGAAAGCAAGAATTATCTCCATGTTGTTAAAACAATGACTGTCTGAAATAGAATGGGGTTAGGGGGAGGGTAGAGGCCATTTTAATTTTATTTGACAGAGTGATGGTACGAGTCACTCTGTTCTTTGAGACTGCATTCAACTGTTACCGTTTCCACTAGTGAACTTATACTAGCTCAGAGATCCCTGGTTTTCCTCTAATAACACAAAACAGGCCACTGTGTCTGTCACGCCTGGGAACTTAGAGCAGGAGGAGAAGTGTCTATGTCAGCCATTGGATCCCTCTCCGTTCTTTGCCCTAATATCATGGAAACCAAAGAGAATCAGAAGTTGTTTTGAGAATGGAGTTATCCCTCAGCACCCTTAATAAGGAACCAGTGGGCCCTTTTTTCTATGTCTCTTTACTGCTGTTTACACAGGAGTGTTTGCTTCCTGATTGTACAAGGATGGAGACAAGAGAATGACTAGATGGGTAGTGGCGCCATTGTGTGTTTCTACATGTGCGTATGTGTCCTTGTATGTGGAGGATGAATTGTAGGAAATGTTTTGGGGCAAGAGCTGAAAGGGGACAATAATGAACTCTTTTCCATTTCTGAAATTTTAGCTAGATTCAGAAGAGACAAGAGTATACATCAAAGGAGAAGAGTCCAGAGATGTACTAGGCTCACAAAGCTGAGAGGTTAGAACTGGAGACAGATTTGAAAGTACCTGAAGTATAGGTGGTAACTTAAAAATGTACACATGGGTAAAATCCTCAGAGGCCTACAATTAGAAGTGTTGGGGAGTGGCCAGTGATAACAGGCATGGTGGATGAGGTGTGTGCGGGTGTGTGTGTGTGAGAGAGAGGGAAGCAAATACAGTATTAATATTTAGTGAGTACCTATTATGAGTCAGCACTGTCATATCAGCTCTGTGAGGTAGACGTTAGCAGCAAGATAACCCCATCTTTCCGAATGAAGAAGATGGAGACCCAGAGTGGATAAACAGTGTGTCCTTAGTCACACAATGTGACAGTGGTAGTGTCTGACTTTGAACGCAGATTTCTGTCAGCCAGTGCCCCTTCCGCTGTCCTGCACTGCATTATATGTAGGGGCGTTGTAGGCTGATCTTTACTGGCCTCAGGGCTTTCTCAGCACCAGGCGTTCTGCCCGTACTCCTGAGAAGGTATTCCTTAACACGCCCTCTCCTTCCTTTGCTTCCCACCCCTTGCACAGTTAATTTCCTGTAAACTTTCAGTCAAATAATATTGCCTTCATAATAATGCTTACATTTGGATAGTCCTGTTCTTTCAAATCCTTGAAAATAAATGAGGTTCTGGCAGAAATAGAGTGTCAATCAGGCAGTCCACAGAGTCAACGAAACCTGTGCCCTGGTGTTTACTGAGTGCTGCTTTGGGATAGTTAGTTGCTTGGGATGGTCTCCATTCCTCTTATCTTTTTTTCTTATTCCCTCCTCCTTCCAACTTTTTCAGCTGTACAAGTGGCTGTTGGATTGCCATTTTTTCTTATCCTTTTATGTCTGTTTGTGGTGCCATTTGGGATTTATTCTCCCTGCCTTCAGGAGAAGGATAAATTGGGACCCAAGCCAGGCATCTTTGGACATAGAGGTGCACCCATGGTAGGTGTGAACATGATGAACATGGGTGAGTAGCTGTGTGCATGGACTCTGTGCATAAGAGAAGGGGACGTCAGAATCTCAGGAATCTGGAGAAGAAAAGGGGCTGGCTTTAGGTGACAAGAATCAAGAGTTAACTGTGGAGGTTGCACTTGAACCCAGGTCACCTGCCAGTCCATTTCTCGGTACTGTGCCCAGTGGCTTTGCCTCAGGCGCTCAGGTGAGCAGAGTCCTAGGTTCATACTGGGTGGGGGAGAATATAGGTAGTCTCTTTGAAAAAGTCTCTGAGGGAGCCAAGGTCTGCTCCCTGAAACCTTTTTGTCGCTGGGCATCTTCCCTCCTATAAAAGGGATGTTGGGAAGAGAAACTCGGAGGTAGATGGTCTGATGTCCTTTTCTTCCACAGCTGGGCCCTGAGAATACCATGATGTCCTTTGAGAAAGCTGTCGAACACGGGGCCTTTGGGCTGGAGTCTGACGTATTCCTGAGGTAGGAAAGCAGGGGTTGGGTGGGGAGGAGGTAAGGCCAGTGCCACGGAAGATGACCAGCCTGGCCCCCGTTGTAGAGAGGACAAGCTTGATGGGTTTCTCCAGTGCTCATGTGCTGTAGATGCGCATAGCATACGCACGCACACACACACACACACACACACACACACACACACAAGCCCCTTCTCCCTTCCAAATCACACTCTATGTAGACTCCGCACGTAGTTCATATTTATCCCTTTGCAAACCATGCTTAAAACTTAAACCCCATGCACTTACCTAGCAATATGCTTACCTAACAGTACCCAGACACCTGCTGTATTCCAGGCCTTCTTCTGAGGGCTGTTGAGAGGGAAATGAGTACAGTACACTGCTGCCTAAGAGATGTTCCCAGCCAGTAAAGGAGGCATGGCATGTTTACCACAGTATCAGACCATTTGTGGCGGTGCCTTCCAGAGAAGATTAAGTCAAATGCAGTGGAACTTCTGTGGAGCAAAAGGCCACCTCCTTTTGTGTGAAAAAGACCTAATACTCAGAATTGTGTTTGGATTGAGTCTTGAAGGAAAAATGTTACTTTACCAAGTGGATATGGGGAAAGATGGTAATACAGACAGAGGCAACAGCTTTCTCAAGGGCACATAAATCAGGACAACAATCGGTGAGCTAACCTGCATGGATGCCAAATTGATAGGCTTAGGGAACAGGAGAGGGCCACGTGAGGAGGAGGAATGGCTGCAAGGCTCCCTGCGACTGGATCACAGAGATCCCCACATGTGTAAAGCGCAGCCGTCGCAGGTTTTACCAGATTACCTTCTTGTCTTAAAAAGACATGTTTTAGAAAGACTCATCTGGCCATCTATGGGGGAGCCTTCTTCAGGAGATGGGTAGTGGGCTGTAGCAATGTCCAAGGGAAAACAAAAGAATACCTGGACCAGAGCAGGGGTGTGGACAAAAGACGTGTCGTGCTGTGCAATCTACGTACCTGAGCAGCTGGAAGTAGAAAGGCTTCATCTCTAGCACGAGGAAATTAGTGAGTGTGGTGAGTACAGACTCCCTTCCCAGCCTCTCTGTGAGGCAAAAGGAAGAGAAACGAACATTTAATTCAAAGATCAAGAAATGTGGTTTGAAATGTATTGGGAAGGTCATAGAGCTGGAATGTACGTGATCAAGCCAGGATTGGAACTAGATTTTTTGACGCCAGACTGGGGTTCTCGACATTACCCAACAATGACAAGTGCTCCCTGCAGACTATTCGAATCAGGGTTTTGATGCAGGATGCCCCTATGCGAGCCCCTGGGTTCATTCGTGGAAGTGCTTGGCGGTCGTGGCATAACGTGGTAAAGGTGCTGAGCCCACGAGGTCCTGGCTCACGGTCTTTCTCTCTTCCCTTGTTTCTGTGACTTCAGCTGTGATGTGGATGATCCTTCCAGCACCTCAGTTTCTCTCCTTGATGACATCTTCATCTCCAGTGATCATCTCCACATACCCCACCATGTACATTGATGGTCACACCCTAAGCTTCATCACCTCCAAAGACTGCTTATCAGTCAGGACGTGACTATCACACCAGTATCTTTAACAGGGAAAATGTAGTATCAAGAATTACTATGTGGTGAAATGTAGTAAACTACTTAACGAGTTTAAAAAATACCCCATGAGTATAAAACTAGCAAGTGCAGCTACTGGAGCTTATGTCCAGAGGAAATGGAGTAAGCACATTCTACCCTGTCCTTTCCAGGAATTATAAGTTAATTAATTAATTAAAAACTGGACAAAAAGTCACAAAGCAACTGACAGAAGATGCTGGAAAGTGGAGAAATGGTGATGACTGGCTGAGTTTCATTAGACTCCAGGAACTACCAATTAGGTAGAGAATTCCTTTTTGTTTTTGTTTCTTAATTTTTAATTTTTCAATCATGTTTATTCTATTATAGTCATCTCAGTTTTTCTTCCTTTGCCCTTCTCTACCAATCCCACCCGCCTCCCTTTCCCACTATGAATTCCCACTCTGTTGTCCATGTCCATGGGTCATTCATACATGTTCTTTGTTTTGTCCCTTCTCTCCACCACTGTCGTACTTCCCCATCCCCTCTGGTCTCTTTCAGTTTGCTCCCTGTTTCCATGCCTGTGGTTTATTTTGTTCATTAATATATTTTGTTGAATATATTCCACTTACAGGTGAGATCATTTGGTATTTGTTTTTCACTGACTGGCTTATTTCATTTAGCATAATATTCTTGGGTTATATCCTTGTTGTTGCAAAAGATAGTAGTTCCTTCTTTCTATTTTTTAAAATGCAGATTGAGTTTATTTTAAATGTCAAAATCCATTATAAAATATTAAAAAATTTAAATCCACTAGAAAGTCTCAGCAATTAAAAAACATGACTCCAGCACAGGATTAATCAAGTAGATCAATGAAATAAAATGAGCATTCTTGAAACAAACATATATTTCTGCCTAACAATACATTGAATGTAATACAATGCATCTAGTAATACATTGAATGTAATACTAGAATACAAAACGTATTCAAGTGAGTTAAAAATCAATATGTAAAGTCTAAGGAGTTTTAGGAGAATATACAAAATAACATTTTTCTTACCCTGAAGTAAAATATTCAAACCCAGAAGCTATAAAGTAAAATATTGATAATATGACTATATTAAACACTTAAGACTATATAGTAATATACATATAAAAAAGTTAAAGGACAGGTAATAGAATAGGAAGGTATTTGCAACACATCTAAAAAAGGTAAAAATTATTTTTTAGGGAAAAAATCCTATAAACAGTTAATCCAAAAATGGATAAAGAATACCAAAAAGTCATTTAAAGCTTTTTACACATAATAGAAATAGGCAAGAAATATACAAAAACAGGTTCAGTTTCAATAAATAATAAAGTAACAGCACATCATTGTGACAATCAGATTACTAAGTATTAAAAATACTGGTAATATCAAGTATTGGTGGCTGTGAAAGGAACTGGGTATTCATAGACTCTTTTTCTTCATCTTTTTAAAGCAGTCCCTTTAACATATCTTGCAAAGCTGGTTTGGTAGAGGTGTATTCTTTTAGCCACGTTTTTTCTGGGAAACTCCTTATTTCACCTTCCATTTTAATTGAGAGCCTTGCTGGGTAGAGCAGTCTTGGTTGCAGGCCTTTGCTTTTCATGACTTGGAGTATTTCTTGCAATTCCCTCCTGGCTTGTATTTCTGTTGAGAAGTCAGCTGCTAGCCATACTGGGGTTCCCTTATATGTTACTACCTGTTTCTCTCTTGCTACCTTTCGTATTCTCTGCTTGTCTTTGATATTTGCCATTTTAATGATGATGATTCTTAGAGTGGGTCTCATTGGGTTCCTCTTGAATGGGACCCTCTGTGCTTCCTTGTGAAGAAAAAGACTTGTGAGACTTTTTCTCTCCTCAAATTAGGGGAAATTTTCCATCATAACTTTTTCGAACAGGTTCTCTAACCCTTCCTCCTTCTCTTCTCCTTCTGGTATCCCTATTATACGGACATTATTACATTTCAGGTTGTCCTGCATTTCCCTTAATGCCTCTTCAATTTTTTTTTTTTTTTTTTTTTTTAGTCCTTTTTCATTTTCTTGCTCCTTCTGGGAGCTTTTTTTCTACCTTGTCCTCCAGCTTGCTGATTCAGTCCTCTGCTTCATCCAGCCTGCTTTTGATTCCTTCTGCTGTGTTCTTCAATTCAGAAATTGTATTCTTCATTTCCTCTTGTCTTTTATTGATGCTGATATAGTTTGCAGTAAGTTCCTAATGGTTTCCCTATAGATTTTTGTAATTCTCTTTGTGCTCACTGAGGTCATTGAGCTTCCTCAGAACCATTGTTTTGAACTCAGTGTCTGATAGTTTCCTTGCCTCTATTTCATTTAGTTCTCTTTGTGGGGATTCCTCCTTTCCCTACCACTGGAGTCGTTTCTTTGTCTTCCCATTATTTGTGAGACTCTTTTTTTTTCTTCTGCTTCAATTGATCTATCTGATTTCCTGACTTTGTGGTGTGAACTTCCATGGTTGGTGACTGCTGTTTTCCCTTTCTGTATCTGCCTCTGATGATGTCAGATGATGACCCTGTCTGATCTTAGGCACTCTGTTCGAGATTTCCAGGAATCTACTGTCTGTCTCAATCTGTTGTTAATCTACTCACTCTGCACTCAGCAGTCAGTCTTAGACACCACAGGGTGGGGCAGAATCCCTCCTAGGGGTGAGGTGATGGGGTCCTCTCATGCTGCTGCCACTCAGGGGAGTAGTCTGTATGAGCCAGATAGCTGCTGTCATATAGGGAACTAGTGAACACCGCAATCCCACAAGCTACTCTCTTCATTCTCTTCCTAAAGCCTTATTCCCCAGTCTTTCCTCAGGCATCTCTAGCTCACTCTGATCCCGCCTTTGCCAGAGCCCAGGGTGAGTGGCCTCAAATAAAAATGTATGCATTAGTCCTCTAAATGGCTCTTTGTATCTCTAGCTGCCTGTCTTTGGAAAAGAGCAGCCCTCCTGCTTTTCACAGGTGGCTGTTGTCTGTTGACTGTACACTTTTGAGCGCTGGTGCTGTAGGGTGGAAATCCCCATGTAAGGGTTAGAGCCTGCTCTTCTCAGCGGTATCCAACTGGTCGTTTCGTTATCTTTCTGATGCTGCCACCCGTGAGCACCCTGCCCACCTTCTTGAGTCTCTGCCACACTCCTTATCAGTTAGGTTGTACTAAAGCTGATTCTTCAGTCCAAAGTTATAAGGCTCCTCTCTCGCAATTGTTCAGTTGTTTGTACCAGGTGATTTCTCCACAATATAGTTGTAATTCCAGATTGGTCCTGGAAGGAGTTGGTGTGAATTCCACTCACTCCTCTGCAATCTTGATTATCTGTTGTTGTTGTTTTAGTTTGTCTTTTTTTCATATATTCTGATATGAGCTCTGGAGAGATCTGAAACCCAGAAAACACCTATATCTGCAGATTGGGGGGAAAAAAACTCTCCAAAGGCTTCATT